CACTGATAACACTGTTCACTCGGGTGTAAACCATTAGTGTACATTGATAACACTATTCACTCGGCTGTAAGCCATTAGTGTACACTGATAACACTGTTCACCCTTGTGTAAACCATTAGTGTTCACTGATAACACTGTTCACTTGGGTGTAAACCATTAGTGTACCTCATAACACTGTTCACTCGGCGGTAAACCATTAGTGTACACTGATAACACTGTTCACTCGGGTGTAAACCATTAGTGTACATTGATAACACTATTCACTCGGCTGTAAGCTATTAGTGTACACTGATAACACTGTTCACTCGGGTGTAAACCATTTGTGTACACTGATAACACAGTTCAACCGGGTGTAAACCATTAGTGTACATTGATAACACTGTTCACTCGGCGGTAAACCATTAGTGTACACTGATAACACTGTTCACTCGGGTGTAAACCATTAGTGTACCTAATAACACTGTTCACTCGGCGGTAAACCATTAGTGTACACTGATAACACTGTTCTCTCGGGTGTAAACCATTTGTGTCCATTTTTAACACTATTCACTCGGCGGTAAACCATTAGTGTACATTGATAACACTGTTCACTCGGGTGTAAACCATTAGTGTACACTGATAACACTGTTCACTTGGGTGTAAACCATTAGTGTACCTGATAACACTGTTCACTCGGCGGTAAACCATTAGTGTACACTGATAACACTGTTCTCTCGGGTGTGAACAATTAGTTTACATTGATAACACTGTTCAGTCTGGTGTAAACCATTAGTGTACACTGATAACACTGTTCACTCGGGTGTAAGCCATTAGTGTACACTGATAACACTGTTCACTCGGGTGTAAACCATTAGTTTACATTGATAACACTGTTCACTCGGCGGTAAACCATTAGTGTGCACTGAAAACATTGTTCACTCGGTTGTAAACCATTAGTGTACACTGATAACACTGTTCTCTCGGGTGTAAACAATTGATGTACATTGATAAGACTTTTCACTCAGCGGTAAACCATTAGTGTACACTGATAACACTGTTCACTCGGGTATAAAGCATTAGTGCACATTGATAACACTGTTCACTCGGGTGTAAACAATTAGTGTACATTGATAACACTGTTCACCCTTGTGTAAACCATTAGTGTTCACTGATAACACTGTTCACTTGGGTGTAAACCACTTGTGTCCATTGATAACACTGTTCAATCGGGTGTAAACCATTAGTGTACACTGATAACACTGTTCACTCGGGTATAGAGCATTAGTGCACATTGATAACACTGTTCACTCGGGTATAAAGCATTAGTGCACATTGATAACACTGTTCACTCGGGTGTAAACAATTAGTGTACATTGATAACACTGTTCACCCTTGTGTAAACCATTATTGTTCACTGATAACACTGTTCACTCGGGTGTAAACCACTTGTGTCCATAGATAACACTGTTCAATCGGGTGTAAACCATTAGTGTACACTGATAACACTGTTCACTCGGGTGTAAACCATTAGTGTACATTGATAACACTATTCACTCGGCTGTAAGCCATTAGTGTACACTGATAACACTGTTCACCCTTGTGTAAACCATTAGTGTTCACTGATAACACTGTTCACTTGGGTGTAAACCATTAGTGTACCTCATAACACTGTTCACTCGGCGGTAAACCATTAGTGTACACTGATAACACTGTTCACTCGGGTGTAAACCATTAGTGTACATTGATAACACTATTCACTCGGCTGTAAGCCATTAGTGTACACTGATAACACTGTTCACCCTTGTGTAAACCATTAGTGTTCACTGATAACACTGTTCACTTGGGTGTAAACCATTAGTGTACCTCATAACACTGTTCACTCGGCGGTAAACCATTAGTGTACACTGATAACACTGTTCACTCGGGAGTAAACCATTAGTGTACATTGATAACACTATTCACTCGGCTGTAAGCCATTAGTGTACACTGATAACACTGTTCACTCGGGTGTAAACCATTTGTGTACACTGATAACACTGTTCAATCGGGTGTAAACCATTAGTGTACATTGATAACACTGTTCACTCGGCGGTAAACCATTAGTGTACACTGATAACACTGTTCACTCGGGTGTAAACCATTAGTGTACCTGATAACACTGTTCACTCGGCGGTAAAGCATTAGTGTACACTGATAACACTGTTCACTCGGGTGTAAACCATTTGTGTCCATTGATAACACTATTCACTCGGCGGTAAACCATTAGTGTACATTCATAACACTGTTCACTCGGGTGTAAACCATTAGTGTACACTGATAACACTGTTCACTTGGGTGTAAACCATTAGTGTACCTGATAACACTGTTCACTCGGCGGTAAACCATTAGTGTACACTGATAACACTGTTCTCTCGGGTGTGAACAATTAGTGTACATTGATAACACTGTTCAGTCTGGTGTAAACCATTAGTGTACACTGATAACACTGTTCACTCGGGTGTAAGCCATTAGTGTACACTGATAACACTGTTCACTCGGGTGTAAACCATTAGATTACACTGATAACACTGTTCACTCGGGTGTAAAAAATTACTATACACTAATAACACTGTTCACTCGGGTGTAAACCATTAGTGTACATTGATAACACTGTTCACTCGGCGGTAAACCATCAGTGTACACTGATAACACTGTTCGCTCGGGTGTAAGCCTTTAGTGTACACTGATAACACTGTTCACTCGGGTGTAAACAATTAGTGTACACTGATAACACTGTTCACTCGTGTGTAAACCATTAGTGTACACTAATAACACTGTTCACTCGGGTGTAAACCATTAGTTTACATTGATAACAATGTTCACTCGGCGGTAAACCATTAGTGTACACTGAAAACACTGTTCACTCGGTTGTAAACCATTAGCGTACACTAATAACACTGTTCACTCGGGTGTAAACCATTAGTGTACACTGATAACACTGTTCTTTCGGGTGTAAACCATTAGTGTACATTGATAACACTGTTCACTCGGCGGTAAACCATTAGTGTACACTGATAACACTGTTCACTCGGGTGTAAACCATTAGTGTACACTGATAACACTGTTCAATCAGGTGTAAACAATTAGTGAACACTGATAACACTGTTCACTCGGGTGTAAAGCATTAGTGTACACTAATAACACTGTTCACTCGGGTGTAAACCATTAGTGTACATTGATAACACTGTTCACTGTAAACAATTAGTGTACACTGATAACACTGTTCACACCATTGTACATTGATAACACTGTTCTCTAGGGTGTAAACCATTAGTACACTGATAACACTGTTCACTTGTAAACCATTTGTACACTGATAACACTGTTCACTCGGGTGTAAACCATTAGTGTACATTGATAACACTGTTCACTCGGCGGTAAACCATTAGTGTACACTGATAACACTGTTCACTCGGGTGTAAACCATTAGTGTACCTGATAACACTGTTCACTCGGCGGTAAACCATTAGTGTACACTGATAACACTGTTCACTCGGGTGTAAACCATTTGTGTCCATTGATAACACTATTCACTCGGCGGTAAACCATTAGTGTACATTGATAACACTGTTCACTCGGGTGTAAACCATTAGTGTACACTGATAACACTGTTCACTTGGGTGTAAACCATTAGTGTACCTGATAACACTGTTCACTCGGGTGTAAACCATTAGTGTTCACTGATAACACTGTTCACTTGGGTGTAAACCATTAGTGTACACTGATAACACTGTTCACCCTTGTGTAAACCATTAGTGTTCACTGATAACACTGTTCACTTGGGTGTAAACCATTAGTGTACCTCATAACACTGTTCACTCGGCGGTAAACCATTAGTGTACACTGATAACACTGTTCTCTCGGGTGTGAACAATTAGTGTACATTGATAACACTGTTCAGTCTGGTGTAAACCATTAGTGTACACTGATAACACTGTTCACTCGGGTGTAAGCCATTAGTGTACACTGATAACACTGTTCACTCGGGTGTAAACCATTAGTGTACATTGATAACACTGTTCACTCGGCGGTAAACCATCAGTGTACACTGATAACACTGTTCACTCGGGTGTAAGCCTTTAGTGTACACTGATAACACTGTTCACTCGGGTGTAAACAATTAGTGTACACTGATAACACTGTTCACTCGTGTGTAAACCATTAGTGTACACTGATAACACTGTTCACTCGGTTGTAAACCATTAGCGTACACTAATAACACTGTTCACTCGGGTGTAAACCATTAGTTTACATTGATAACAATGTTCACTCGGCGGTAAACCATTAGTGTACACTGAAAACACTGTTCACTCGGTTGTAAACCATTAGCGTACACTAATAACACTGTTCACTCGGGTGTAAACCATTAGTGTACACTGATAACACTGTTCACTCGGGTGTAAACCATTAGTGTACACTGATAACACTGTTCTTTCGGGTGTAAACCATTAGTGTACATTGATAACACTGTTCACTCGGCGGTAAACCATTAGTGTACAATGATAACACTGTTCACTCCGGTGTAAGCCATTAGTGCACACTGATAACACTGTTCACTCGGGTGTAAACAATTAGTTTACATTGATAACTCTGTTCACTCGGGTGTAAACCATTAGTGTACACTGATAACACTGTTCACTCGGGTGTAAACCATTAGTGTACACTGATAACACTGTTCACTCAGGTGTAAACAATTAGTGAACACTGATAACACTGTTCACTCGGGTGTAAAGCATTAGTGTACACTAATAACACTGTTCACTCGGGTGTAAACCATTAGTGTACATTGATAACACTGTTCACTCGGGTGTAAACAATTAGTGTACACTGATAACACTGTTCACTCGGGTGTAAACCATTAGTGTACATTGATAACACTGTTCTCTAGGGTGTAAACCATTAGTGTACATTGATAACACTGTTCTCTAGGGTGTAAACCATTAGTGTACACTGATAACACTGTTCATTCCGCGCACGGCCAGAAGCCGCACCGCCAGATTCAGCGCCACCAGATGCAGCACCACCAGTAGCCGCACCGCCAGATGCAGCACCGCCAGAAGCCGCACGGCCAGGTGCAGCACCACCAGAAGCCACACCGCCAGATGCAGCACCACTAGAAGCCGCACCGCCAGATGCAGCACCACCAGAAGCTGCACCGCCAGATGCAGCACCACCAGAAGCTGCACCGCCAGATGCAGCACCACCAGATGCCGCATCGCCAGATGCAGCACCGCCACATGCAGCACCACCAGATGGCGCATCGCCAGATGGCATCAGCCACCGCCAGATGCAGCACCACCAGACGCCCCACCGCTATGCAGCACCACCAGAAGCCGCACCGCCAGATGCAGCACCACCAGACGCCGCACCGCCATATGCAGCACCACAGAAGCCGCACCGCCAGATGCAGCACCACCAGACGCCGCACCGCCATATGCAGCACCACCAGAAGCCGCACCGCCAGATGCAGCACCACCAGACGCCCCACCGCCTTATGCAGCACCACCAGAAGCCGCACCGCCAGATGCAGCACCACCAGATGGCGCATCGCCAGATGCAGCATCACCAGAAGCCGCACCGCCAGATGCAGCACCACCAGACGCCGCACCGCCATGCAGCACCACCAGCCGCACCGCCAGATGTAACCACCAGATGCCGCACCGCCAAATGCAGCACGGCCAGATGCAGCGCCACCAGATGCAGCACTGCCAGATGAAGCACCACCGAAGCCGCACCGCCAGATGTAGTACCGCCAGATGCCGCACCGCCAGATGCAGCACCGCCAGAAGCCGCACCGCCAGATGCAGCACCACCAGAAGACACCGCCAGATGCAGCACCGCCAGAGACGCACCGCCAGATGCAGCACCGCCAGATGCAGCACCGCCAGAAGCCACACCGCCAGATGCAGCACCGCCAGGAGACGCACCGCCAGATGCCGCACCGCCAGATGCAGCACCGCCAGAAGCCGCACCGCCAGATGCAGCACCACCAGCCACACCGCCAGATGCAGCACCGCCAGGAGACGCACCGCCAGATGCAGCACCACCAGATGCAGCACCACCAGAAGCCACACCGCCAGATGCAGCACCGCCAGGAGACGCACCGCCAGCCGCACCGCCAGATGCAGCACCACCAGAAGCCGAACCGCCAGATGCAGCACCGCCAGAAGCCGCACCGCCAGACGCAGCAACGCCAGATGCAGCACCGCTAGATGCACACCGCCAGAAGCCGCACCGCCAGACGCAGCACCGCCACTTGCAGCACGCCAGATGCAGCACCACCAGATGCTAGGTTAGGTTAGGTTAGGTTAGGATCTTGGTTGAGAAGAACACAAAAGCGATATGTAGACAAGAGCGTGGAATGGTATGCAGTACCTGGGGAGGGAGAGGCGGATGTGTTGTTACCGATCAAGGGTTGTAGAATGTGGCAGTTCCTGGGTGTTGTTACCGGGATCAAGGGTTGTAGAATGTGGTGCAGTTCCTGGGAGGTGTTACCGACTGGCAAGGGTTGTAGAATGTGGTGCAGTTCCTGGGGGAGGAGGTGTTGTTACCGGGATCAAGGGTTGAATGTGTGCAGTTCCTGTGTTGTTACAGGACTGGTATAGAATGTGCAGTTCCTGGGGGGGTGTTGTTACCGGGATCAAGGGTTGTAGAATGTGGTGCAGTTCCTGGGGAGGTGGTAGCAGGATCAAGGGTTGTAGAATGTGGTGCAGTTCCTGGGGGGGGAGTTGTTACTGGGATCAAGGGTTGTAGAATGTGGTGCAGGTACCGGGGGAGGGGTAGGTGTTGTTACTGACTGCGGTTGTAGAATATGGTGCAGGTACCGGGGAGAGGGGGGTTACCGGTATCAAGGGTTGTAGAATGTGGTGCAGGTACCGGGGAGGGTACTGGTATCAAGGGTTGTAGAATGTGGTGCAGGTACCGGGAGAGGGGGTTACCGGTATCAAGGGTTGTAGAATGTGGCAGGTACCGGGGAGGGGGTACCGGTATCAAGGGTTGTAGAATGTTGCAGGTACTGGGAGAGGGGAGGGTTACCGGTATCAAGGGTTGTAGAATGTGGTGCAGGTACCCGGGAGAGAAGGGAGGTGCTGTTACCGGGATCAACGGTTGTAGAATGTGGTGCAGGTACCGGGGAGGGGGGAGGTGTTGTTACCGGGTGTTGTAGACAAATATTTCTTCATAGATTCAGAGTGAAGGATTGTGTTAGTCTCTACGTGATTTTTTTGTTTATGAAGCTGGTGTGTGTGTGTGTGTGTGTGTGTGTGTGTGTGTGTGTGTGTGTATGACGTGTGTGTGTGTGTGTGTGTGTGTGTGTGTGTGTGTGTGTGTGTGTGTGTGTGTGTGTGTGTGTGTTCGTATGTGTATGTGGACGTGTGTGTATGTGTGTGTTCTGGACGTGTGTGTGGACATGTGTGTGTGTGTTCAGGACATGTGTGTGTGTGTGTGTGTGTTTAGGACGTGTGTGTGTGTGTGTGTGTGTGTGTGGTGTGGGACGTATGTGTGTATGTGGACGTGTGTGTGTGTGTTTTGGACATGTGTGTTTGTGAGTGTGTTTTGGACGTGTGTGTGTGTGTGTGTGTGTGTGTGTGTGTGTGTGTGTGTGTGTGTGTGTGTGTGTGTGGACGTGTGTGTGTGTGTGTTTGTGGACGTGTGTGTGTGTGTGTTTTTGTGGACGTGTATGTGTGTGTTTGTGGACTTGTGTGTGTGTGTGTGTGTTTTGGACGTGTATGTGTGTGTTTGCGGACGTGTGTGTGCGTGTGCGTGCGTGTGTGTGTGTGTGTGTGTGTGTGTGTGTGTGTGTGTGGACGTGTGTGTGTGTGGGTTTGTGGACGAGTGTGTGTATGTGTGGATCTGTGTGTGTGTGTGTGTGTGTTTGTGGACGTGTGTGTGTGTGTATGTGTGGACGTGTGTGTGTGTATGTGTGTGACGTGTGTGTGTGTTTTGTGGACGTGTGTGTGTGTTTGTGGACGTGTGTGTGTGTTTGTGGACGTGTGTGTGTGTGTGTGTTTGTGGACGTGTGTGTGTGTATGTGTGTGGACGTGTGTGTTTGTGGACGTGTGTGTGTGTGTGTGTGTGTGTGTATGTGTATGTGGTGTGTGGACGTGTGTGTGTGTGTGTGTTTGTGGACGTGTGTGTGTGTGTGTTTGTGGACGTGTGTGTGTGTGTGTGTGTGGACGTGTATGTGTGTGGACGTGTGTGTGTGTATGTGTGGACGTGTGTGTGTGTTTTTGTGGACGTGTGTCTGTGTTTGTGGACGTGTGTGTGTATGTGTGTGGACGTGTGTTTGTGGACGTGTGTGTGTGTGTATGTGTATGTGTAAGTGTGTGGACGTGTGTGTCTGTGTTTGTGGACGTGTGTGTGTGTTTGTGTCAGGGGCAGTGTGGATACAGACTCGCCAGTGTTCTGTATACTAGTGGTTAGGTTACGTTATGTTACGTTACGTTACGTTAGGTTACGTAGCCATCCACAGCTGGGTCGAGTCGGTGTACCCGGGGGGCGAAACAGCGGCTTTGTGGATAGGGGGAGAGCGATGTATCCACCCTGGGACGACGTAGCGACCCTGTTGGATGTGTAGCGTGGAACATATGTAGAGTTTGTTGTACCACTGTTGTCCACTTACGGTGTTATAGTGTTGTAACTACAGGCAAGCTCTGGAACGGCTTATGGCTATAACGTCACTGTTTGTTTACACCGCCATAGTGACTGTCGGTCGGTCGTCAACACACAGCTACAGCTAAACAAGAAGTTTTCGTTGTCATTAAATATGGTAGTGTTTTATTAGTGAGCACCAGTTATAAGAGTAAAGGTTACTTGGGATGTGCTGTGGTGTTGGATGTCAAATATCACCATTACTGAGAAGTGATATATTACACTGTGGGTGGACGGGTGGAGGTTCGCCCGGCACACACTGGCTGAGGACTGATGTGTGCAAGTTATTCTGACCAACACAAACAACAATTAATATAAAAGTGATGCATCGACTTACAATTTAATAATCACAAAAGATGAAGGTAACTGAAGTGTTACTAAACCATGGTGGAGGCTCTGCTGGACTCTATGACGACACACACACACAGCCTCCATCAACTCGTATTAAATCTTAAGTTAAAGAACACATATAAATGTTCCACTCACCTCACCACTGTGTTACTCTCTCCTAAACTACTAATTTATGGAACTCGTTCGGCCAGCACACACGTTCTGTTGGTGTGATGCGATATGGACCGTACTGAAGTGTTGAGACTGTACCGGGAGTGTAGTCGACGTGATGCCACACATACTGTCAGCCAGTCAGCCAGGATCTAACCTTTAGTCAGATTTGAGTGAGTCTCCAGAGGATTAAGACGCCCTATTTATGATGTCAATATTAATATGGTTTTGGACCCGTGGTAATTGATGGTCGTGTCCTGTATGAGTCACGAGTACCTGTGAGGTGTAGTCCTGTGTGAGTCATGAGTACCTGTGAGGTGTAGTCCTGTGTGAGTCATGAGTACCTGTGAGGTGTAGTCCTGTGCGAGTCACGATTACCTGTGAGGTGTAGTCATCCTCTAAGCTTGTTGTTTCTGTAAGTGCTCCACCGCTGCAGGGAAGATATGATAGAAGTATTTAAGTGGGCGAAAGGAATCAATAATGGAGATATAGAGAAAGTTCTAATAATATCCGAGCAGGATAGAACTCGTAGAAACGGATTTAAGTTGGATAAGTTTAGGTTTAAGAGGGAGATAGGAAGAAACTGGTTCACAAATAGGGTGGTGGACGAGTGGAACAAGCTTAGCAACTTTGTAGTAAATGTGGGAACAATGGAAAGTCTTAAAAGGAGGCTAGATAGATTCATGGATGATAGAGAGTGGTAGTAACTCTCGACATGAGCTGCCATGCACAGACTCCTTATTTCCTTATGTTCTTATATTCTTATGATGAGAGAGAGAGAGAGAGAGAGAGAGAGAGAGAGAGAGAGAAGAAATATTTGAACGGGAGAGTAAGAAGAGGTGTTTTCTAGTCATCTGACTGAGTCTCACTGTTTGGCGAGATTTTTGTTTTTGTTTACTCGTGTAACACCGAGGCCTTTATTCCTACCCCTAAGTCGTCATGAACGAGGTCTGTTACAGGGGGGAGAGGACAGCCAAAACGGGGCGGATCCAGGAATATCAAAAGGGGGTTTTGAGGCCAGGTGCACTTGATATTAGGAGATATTCTGAGGTCAATAGTGTAACTCACGAATAGCGAAACTTTTGTTGACGCCTTCAATGCCTGATGGGTGTGGCATAGTGTCTGGTGGGTGAATACTTTAGCACAGTGATGGGTGAATTCTTTGGCAGTGTCTGATGGGTGAATACCTTGGTGGGTAGCGGAAGGTAAACAGCTAGCCACGGTCTCTCCCAATGGTTAAGATTCACTGCACTCACACACACTCATTTTATCCCGGAGTTATTTCTTTACAACCACTGTAATTGTTTAACACAGCTGCACTCGTCAAATAAAATCTCAAAGAAAAACAAATCGTGCGACACCAGATAAAATTGTTCATATAGACAATAATGAGCATCTCTCCTTCTCCACTTTTTTGAATAATTTTATATTGTTCGTTTTGTCTTTTATTTATTTTAGCGTAAAATGTCACCAGCCACAGGTCAACGCCGCTTCCATCACAACAGTAAATGGGGACTGGCTGTGGCGAGAGAGAGAGAGAGAGAGAGAGAGAGAGAGAGAGAGAGA